CATAACATTTCTGCCCCCGGCCACGTATATTGAGGATCCTTTTCAATTTTAGCCACAAAAATGCATGTGTTGGTCTGGAGGACGAGGTCTCTGGCACACGCTCCGTCTGCTCACTTGTACGTTCCTTGGTGGTACCATCGGACGCATACCTTCGCAGGCACAGAATGTGTCAGAGCAAATTACAGTGGCCCAAAATTAGGCCATAGAATCTGGTGTTCTCTGCAGGGGAGGAGGGGAAATGTGACACCCTGCAGGCCTTGTGGTGTGTGGCGTGACAGTCAGCCATCAGACGGGGCTCAGGGTTTTGAAGGTACCGCACACATTTTTTCCAGGATACCTCTTAAGGACAAAACAGTTCCCAGTGTTCCAGCGCAGTCTGGCGTGATATATCATGATAGTAGCAGGATGGGTCTGCACGGGCACCTGTGACCCATAAATCCCTGAATTTTAGTGCGGGACGTGCTCCGTTGATGCAGATTCTGTATCGTAAAGACAGCCTTACAATGTTGTGATGAAATTAGCTGAAGTTAAACCTGATGACACTTATTCCACACCCTCTAATTCAGGCGATGAGAAGTGTGAAGAGAGATGGAGAAGCTGCAGACTGCCTTAATAGTTTTCATCATTACATCAGTGATATACAAGTGAAGGATCAGCAGTAGTGGACTCTGAAAGTCTAAATGCAGCAATAATCGCTGTATTCATAGTGGTTCACACTGTAAAAAGAAATCATGAAATTGACAGTAAAAACTGGCAGATTCTGTTGCTAGAATTTTAGTTAAAAATACAGAAGAGACCATTAAAGTGATTTTCAAAATGTTATGGTAAACTACCCATGTTTTATGGTGTTATACTCTACATCACTGTTTGGAAGTACTAACATTGTACCTTTTATTAAACAGACAATTTTAATCAAAAGCATTTGTGATTGAGATGAGAGTAATAAATCAATCAATCCACATCACAAGCAACCTTTCCCACAAGCAGAGACTACTATATACACTCACCGGCCACTTTATTAGGTACACCTTACTAGTACTGGCTTGGACCCCATTTTGCCTTCAGAACTGCCTTAATCCTTCATGGCATAGGTTGATACGAAAAGGTGCTCTATTGGATTGAGATCTTGTGACTGTGGAGGCCATTTGAGTACAGTGAACTCAATGTCATGTTCAAGAAAATTCTCACCCTACCATCCGAATGTCGCAGCAGAAATGAAGACTCATTAGACCAGGAAACATTTTTCCAGTATTCTATTGTTCAATTTTGTTTCCCAGAGATGGGTTGCGGCTGGAAGGGCATTAATTAGAAATAAGTGTTAATGAGCAGTTGGACAGGTGTACCTAATAAAGTGGCCGGTGAGTGTATTTTATGTAATTTAGAAGTAGCACTTAACCAAAGCACAAAAATGCTAATTATTAATAATTCGCTTTTTAAATTTGCTACTATTTAACTTCCAATGTCAAATATTCTGACATGAAGTTTATTGAACAATAGAAATAATGAAGTCAATTTGAAGATTTACATTAAATAACATGTCTTCCAAACTTCCAAAAATTCCATCTCTTCCAAATAACATCTGTTCGATCTTTTCTACAAAATTGTCATTTTGTGCATTTAAAATTTTAATTAAAAATTAAAGCTATTCAGAATTGTTTTTTTTTCAATTGGAAAACATATATTATATTATTTTATATTATATTATATTATATTATATTTATTATATTATATGTTATATATTATATTATTTTATATTTATTATATTATATTTAATTTATTATATTACATAATATTTTATATATTATATTATATTTTATATTTATTTTATTATATTATTTTATATTTATCATATAACATTTTATATATTATATTATTTTATATTTATTATATTATATTTATTATATTATATAATATTTTATATATTATATTATATTATTTTATATTTATTTTATTATATTATTTTATATTTATCATATAACATTTTATATATTATATTATTTTATATTTATTATGTTATATTTTATATATTATATTATATTTATTATATTTTATACTATATTGTATTTATTAGATTTAATATTTATTATATTATATTATGTTATTTTATATTTGTTATATTATTTTTATATATTATATTATATTACTTTATATTTATTATATAATTTTATATATTATATTATGTTATATTTTATATAATATATTATTTATATTTATTATATTATATTTTATATATTATATTATTTTATATTTATTATATTATATTTTACATATTATATTATTTTATATTTATTATATTATATTTTATATATTATATTATTTTATATTTGTTATATTATTTTTATATATTATATTATATTACTTTATATTTATTATATAATTTTATATATTATATTATGTTATATTTTATATAATATATTATTTATATTTATTATAATATATTATTTATATTTATTATATTATATTTTATATATTATATTATTTTATATTTATTATATTATATTTTACATATTATATTATTTTATATTTATTATATTATATTTTATATATTATATTATTTTATATTTATTATTATATTGTTTTCTTGACTCCTCTGAAGGTATTGTGTAAACATTAATTTTTCTTGTTATCTTATGACATTCTATGTAATTAGTTTATTCTGTGTCGGGGTCAGCAGTAGATTACAATCCTTTACTCTAAATACGAGCAATAATCATTTCACTTCTATTCTTAGCCTCGTAAAGCAATATAATGACGTATGTGATGATCTGATTGAGAACTGCCTGATAGTAAAAATGAAAACCTGCTCTAAATATAGTTTTAGAAGCACGTCAAACTGATGTGACCTCAGGTCTGAATCATGGACATGACAGATGATCGACTGTCCATATGGAGAGTGTTCAAAACCACAACTTCCTCCTGGAAGTGGAAAGCTGAAAACTCATCGCAGTGAAATAATCAGATGACATCACGATTACTCAAGTTACAGCTGTTATGAAAGCGACAGCAAACCTTATATGGAGCAAAAAGACAAACATTTTATGCAGTTTTGAGATTTGCTCTTTATTTTCCTATATTGCTGTTTAAAAAAATGGATTGACATTTAGAAGAATCTGAATTTTGACTATGATATGATGATAAATGTTAACAAATGACCTAATATGACCTAATATATTTACTCTTTCTGATATCTTGCTCCATTCTGTTCTTGCATATTTTCCTTCTGTGGTACAAAAACAAAAGTTAATTTTTTCATAATGCAATGCATGAGGACCAGAGACATCAAGCTGCACAATGACCATTAAAGTCATCTACAATGCTCAGCATATTAAGTACACCCCTTACAAATCTCTCTTTTAAATTCATTTTTAATAGGAAGCTATACAATATTATATTAGAAGTAACTTACAATAATGGTCCAAAAACTTGTACACCCAAATTAATGTTATAGAAAAATATTAAATACAAATTTAAAAAAAAAAGAGGAAAAATCAAGAGAAAAAAAATTTGTTGAAATTTTGTAGGTTGTAATTATTCTTTTGCAATATTTTTATTTGAATTTAATTGCATTATCTTTCAATTTCTACATATTTTGGTGTCTACAATATTATTTTAATAAATATATTTGTTTAATAAATCTGTTTAGTTGAAATGCACCAAAATACACTGCCTATATTCACTGAGAAATGGATACAAATAATCATCTTCAAAATGGGCTGTTCTCATTTATGCTGAACACTGATTTTTAGTCTAAAAAAATGTACTAAAGCTTTCACTGGATAGCACCTTTTTAAAATTGAACACATTTGTCAACCCATTTTAAGAGTGCCTAATAATTTGTACCTACAAAGCCAAATTTGGTGCCTTTTGAAAAGTACAGCTCCAGTGAAAATGTCTGTTTTTGATGTTTTACTAGTTTTAGTGGAACAGACTGCAATGTACACTAGTTTCTTGCTCTATGTTTAGAATGCATTGTTGGGGTAACGCAATACAAGTAATGTAATATTACTTTTCTAAAGTAACAAATTACTTTAAAAAATTCTATAATACTGTTTGTTACTTTTTAGTTTAATTGGCTTTAAAAAATTATTTGCAGAATTAAAAGTAGTCACAATGAATCAGGCAGTTAATAAGAGAATGTGTTCATTCATTTGAACGCATCAAAGAAAAAGGGATTACAGTCTCAATGCACAGTGATTTTACTTCAGACAAATTGCACAAAATTAGTAAGCACAGCTTTAAACCGTCAATAATCTGTATATATATATATATACAGCAGATAACTATCCTAATTTAATGATTCAATATCCTAAAATATTTTTGGTCTGTTTTTTTTTTTTTAAAGGAAAATGAAGGTTATACAGTGTAGATTGTGGTCAAAGCTCTATTAATAACAAAACAAAAAAGATAATAAAAGTTTCATAACAGATTACTTACTGTAAAAAGTAACTACACTCTTAGAAATAAAGGTACACAAGCTGTAACTGGGATGGTACCTTTTCAAAAGGTATAAATTTGTTCCTAAAAGGTTATATTAATACCTCAAGGGTACATATTAGTACCTAAAAAGTACATAAGTGTTCCTCTTAAAAAAATGTCGCTACTTATACTTTTGAGGTACTAATATGGACCCCTTTGAGTAAAAATGTGTACCTTTTGAAAAGTTACCACCCCAGTGACAGCTCTGTATTTCAAAGAGTGTAGATACAATTTTAGGGTGTAACTCAATATTGTAATGGATCACTTTCTAAAGTAACTCTCCCCAACACTCAGTATGTATGACCAATCTTTCATTTTCACTGGCTCCAATTCACAAAATGGGTCTGAATGAATAAATTGTTCTCAAATCAGACTTCCTGATTGGATACTATCACAGACGTCTTATGTATGGACTCCTAAACTAGTATCACAGAAAAAATATTGAACATGATCATAGAAGAAATGTAAATCTTGATGATTAAAAAAAAGAAATACTAACGTGAAGAAAATGTGGAGCAAACAAGATGATTAGTTTCAAATTTATTCCATATAGAGCTGCACAAAATGAATGAAAGATAAGCAATACCTCTCATTTTATATATATAAAAAACTGAGAATGCCCGATCTTGATTTTCAATATGCGGAAAAAAAATAGTCTGCAGAAGCTCTAAACAAACATTTACATCCTCAAAATACATACATACAAATATGATTCTTCTATAGTCTGACTGGTACCGCACACTAAGCCAGGCATCTGTAATACTCCAAGTATTTGCATGTGTACGAGGCTGTACATGTACAGTAGCTGCACTGGATCTCACACCACCTTTTATATGAACTAATCACTGTTAAAATACACGCTTATGTTTCTAGAAACATTAGCAAAGTCAACCCGAATGCATTCACATCAATCCTGTTCTCAAGTGTTTGAGTGTTTTTCTGTTTGAGCACATTTTTGAGCGTTTTTAAAGGGACTGGATGTATTAATCTTGTAATAAAACTTGAAAATGAGACCTAGGTTGTCTATTTTGTGTTGTGAATAAGACGATGACTGGTTAATTAAAAAGCCAGTGGCCTTAGATTCTGGATTCTACATATAGCCCCTTTAAGATAGATAATGCTTCGGCACTTGAATGTATTTAAGGCTTTGTCTGATCATTTAAGCATCCAAATAAATGCTGTTTCTACTCCTTGTTTTGGTCCATGGCCTTTCTTTCTTGAAGATGGATCTTTGGATGCTGTTCATCTGGAATATGCTCTCTGAACATTGGTGTAATACTGATGGGAATATCATTTCTTTCAGAAGTCACACATGTAGAGCATTTGATTTGCACCATTGACCTGAAATGTTACCGACTAAAGCCACCATTTCAGCTTGAAACACACTAAGATTTGAAAGTCCATGTCTGATAATGACATGTCTATTGAATGCATACAGTCACTTAGTAGGTTCAGTGTTGAAGACGATGCGATGAAGGTCTTCAAACACAGGCGTTAAGTAGAATGTCATCCTTCTCTGACTCCCTTTCCAAGAAAGCAGAGAAACCGTAAGCGATAAAGTCCTTTGACTAGTCAGACCCTTAAGAGCTCCCCAAACATCCCATATCCTCAGTTCATCACCCTGGTTGTCCATTTATAAAGTCACATTCAGAATGGCAACGTGTCCATGAAGATTTTATCCACAATGGGTGGAGGTGGGACCAAGTCTTCCAGTTTGAGATAGAAGATTCGCTGGAGGCCTTGGGTGCACAGTGTTCTCAGCTCTGGGAGCTTGCTCAGCAGTCGGGACAGAGAGTTGGGCCGGCCGACCTCAAGGGCACTTGTGGAGACGTGGTCTCTGAGACATGTGATCAAACGGTTTTGGAAGTCTTCGATCCGTTTGGGCTCTTTCAGGCCATGTCGATCTGTTGGTCACAGTTAAAATTAGGGATGATATTTGTTTGGGATGAAACATAATGTGGGACCCTGGACCATAAAACCATGTGCATTCTTGGAAAGTGAAACTTTCATTTATTAAGATGAGACAATATTTGGTTAAGATAGAACTATTTGAATAGCTGGAATCTGCAAGCTCAATTTTTTTTAAAAATTTGATTAAAGTTGTCCAATTTAAGTGCTTTGCATATTCATTGCGAATAGATCCCCTAGTTTTCGTGATTCCGCAATTGTTGAATCCAACGCAAAAACTACAAAAAGTCACACATTTTTGCGATCCTGGGAAATTTATAATTAAACGCAAAAAACGTTAATCTCATTAAAAAAAAACATCCAATTCCAAACCAAATAATCAAATTATATTTATTTCAGTTTGCAATTTATTGTAAACAACCTTTCTTTGACTTAATCCCTACAATTTTATATTTTGTCTTGACAATACACTAAAATCAAGAAGCTTTATTTTTATTAGTGTCATTGTGTCAGATTTCACACCTAACATAGTAGGCTTCCTAATTCGGTAAATAAAATTTATTTATGTGCATTTTTTCCCCTGAAAAATTATCTGCAAAGTCATTTTTATCTCAAAATATCACAAAATAAATCGTGAAAAACTAGGGGGTCTGATTACTAATCAAACGTTGAGGTTTTTATATATTTATGGTAAACAAATTACAAAATATCTTTATGGAAAATGACCTTTACTTAATATTTTCATGATTTTGGCATAAAGGGAAAATCAATATTGTTCTTACAATGCATCTTGCTATTGCCAAATATATACCTGTGCACCATTAGACTGAGTTTGTGGTCCAGGGTCAGATATTGTTTACAGTCTGTGATGAAGCAGTTGGTATTGCAGTAATTTACCTGTGATTATGACCAGTGTGGCAAGACAGGAAAAAGCAGATATGTCCAAATTCAAGCGATGTAAACTCTGAGAGAACTCCATAATTGAGTCAATCCAATCACCAAAGCTTCGTACGCACTGCGTCCGGTGCAAAACCACACCATTGCAGAAAATAAGTTTGTCTGTCTCAGGGTTTGACCTAAATGCATAAATAAATCTTTAGTCATCTCATAAAATACCATTATAAGGCTTAACTGAACATCATCTGAACTGACGCACCTGTAAGCTAGACGAAGTATGAAGAGCTCAACAAAAGCTGACTCCAGAAGAAGCTCTTGGTCCTCCTTACAAAAGGCACTGAATCCAGGGATGCTTCCAGCCCACTTCCTGATCACATCCATTGACCCTGTTAGCAGGTCATAAAACTGCTGTATGTCGTTGGCATCTTCCTTCTCAGGCAATCCAGATGTTGATTCCTGATACTAGACAATTACCGAAAATAAAGTACATTGATTAGCAATGTTGATATTTAGGGCAGGGGTGTCCAAACTGTTTCTTGGAAGGCCACTGTTCTGCAGATGTTTCCTCAGAAAAAAAAAGACTTGGGCTGTTATGTACTAATTGTTTAGTTTATTAAATCTGCAGGGACGTGGCCTTTCGGGAGCAGTACTGGATACCCCTGATTTAAAGTAATTAAAATGAAATCTATATATTTATTAAAGGTAAAACACTAATCAAGCTTAATTTTTCTGTTATGTTGTAGTAAAGCGTGTTTTTTCCTTACCTTTGAATAGTCCAGATTTGCACTGGCAGGGTTTGAGTCGATATGGGCAGTAACGAGAGAGGCGATGATGTTCACAGGTGAAGAGACAGACACTGAGTCCTGAACAGCTTTGGGTTTGGATGGCAGACGCCCCCTTCTTCCTTTCAGGCTGTCTGTTCTTACAACTACACAGAGGGACAATATACACACTTATTAAAAATGTCTGAGGTGTGTTATTCAATGAGTGAAGTTTATTTATAAACTAATTTCAAAAGGATTACATGCTCATGATTGATCACAGCTGGTCCCACATTAGCTTACGATTGATTGAGTTTCTTATCTCAGTATCTTTTTCTTAAAGAATCCCCCCACCCACACCTACTCCCCCTTCTTTTCTAGAGAGGCGACACGGTGGCCCAGTGATTAGCACTGTTGCCTTGCAGCAAGAATGTCTCTGGTTAAAGTCTCTACTAAACCAGTCGACATTTCTGTACGGAGTTTGTTCATTCACCCCGTGCTTGCGTGGGTTTTCCCCGGCTTCCTCCGACAGTCCAAAAAACACGCAACCTAAGTAAACTGAACATACCAAATTGACAACGTAGTCAAGCTCTTAGCAAGCCGTATATCTCTCCTTAGCCATCCCTATATCTGTCATTAGCTAGAAATAGGTTGGGGGAGTTCATCAAGATATACCTGAGCTCAAACTCCCTGTTAACGGGAGGGAGCCCAAAGCTTGAGGATCTCATAAAAAAACTCAGGGCTTTCTCCCAGGACAGCATGCCAAACAAGCTTTATCATCAATCATCAGCTAAGTGTGAACTCTTGAAAACACACATGTATTCCCACTTGTTGATTTAAACAATTTTGTCCTCACCTTCCTTCACCATCCCCACAGCTAGGCACTTTTGGAAGCGGCAGAACTGGCATCTGTTTCTCCGCCTTTTATCCACTGGACAGTCTTTGTTGGCGAGACAAACATATTTGGCGTTCTTCTGTACTGTGCGCTACAGAATTATTGAGGAAACATTGAATGTTATAAATCAAGCCTAATGGCCAAAACCAACAGCATGATCACAGCATTTCTCTTTCTTACCTTGAAAAAGCCTTTGCATCCTTCACAAGTGCGCACCCCGTAATGCTGACAAGAAGCATTGTCTCCGCACACGGCGCAGCGTCCCTCATTTCCTGTGGGGCTCCTCACTTTAGGAGACAAGTGTCCGTCCATCAGTCCCGATCCATCCCGGCTGCCCTGCTCTAAGCTGAGTGGACTGAAGGGAAGTGGAGAACCATGTTGCGGAGTATGAGAAAAGGGATCCTGATCTGGGATCTGTGACTGCATCTGTCCCAGTGGGGAAAGCTCATCAGCCGTGACGTGCCCAAATGTGAAGAAAGATGCTGCCTGGTTCAGAGGCTTCTCAGAACCCCAGCAACCCTCGTCAGGAGAGCAGGGACCAAAGGTGCTGTCCCATGCAGACATGTGCTGGTATCCCGGGGTGGAGGGAGACGGTGCAGATGCCGGACTTCCAAAGCAGTTTGACCCACCCGAAGAGGACAGCGTCTCGTCCAGGTAGCTCAAAGCAAACGTGCCCGGGTAGCAGCCATACACCTGGAGGTCATCCAGCTTGAAGGAGTCCAGCTGCCCGGAGGTGCTGCCCACACAGGTAGAAGCAGCTCCTGTGGCGATCTGGCATGAGTAGGTGTCAAACTCGCCAACGTATCCCCCAACCAGAGAAGTGATGCTGGGTAGGGAGGGCGCAGAGAGCTGTTCCCGCTGCTCGGTCACATCCATGGCCAACCTGGAGGTGAAGTCAGGATTCAGAAACTCTGAGCTGAAGAGGGAGCTCTCGTAGGACTGGACTCCATGTTGACTTTGAACACAGGTCATTTCTGTAGAACAGAACCACAACATATCTACTTTTCAATACCGTAGGAACATCTAATGCCTCGAGAGCTTAAGAGAGCTTCCTAAACTATATTACTCGATGGCCAGAAAGTCTGTATACACACAGTTCTCTGAAGTGCTTTAAGATTCCTGAGAAAACTTGGAGGGGCGTCTGGCTGGAAAGGGCAGCCATGCTTATTGTGTTACCACATTAAGAACATCAGACACGACACATGTTGCCTCACCGAGAGGGCGTGTTATGTTTGTAAGGGGACATGGGAGTGGGCGGTTTATGTATATGGAACTTTTTAAGATAGACACAAATTTCCCCAGCAAACTAAAACCAGGTGTGCCATTAGGTAAGTGATAGTAAACATAATCAGTAACGTTCTGCATTTCTATTATTACCCATCTAAATCTGTAAACTATTGCAATGAGAAAATGCACTGGCAATGAAAATATTTAGAAAATTGTACATCAGATTTAAACTCATCACTCCACAGAAAGTTCTTTAACACGATGCAATGTGAAACACAATTATGGCTCAGCAGCCTGACAGACATTCATAACCTTGTACCCAGGGCAAGGTGAGAACATGACACTCGATGACCATTTGACCCCTGAACATTTCATTGCCTACATGTTGACAAATATTTTGACAGCAAATGTATTTGCTATATAAATTTTATTGTGGTGTGTCTAAGTGGTGTAAAATATATAACAGTTTGCAAAATTACACTATTTTATATGTACGAAATCGTTGGCCAGATATTAGTTTAGCATATTGTTATTACATATAAATAAAATAGGCAGTAAAGAAGTTCTGTTTACTTATTATTATTATTATTATTATTATTATAATTAATTGAATGAAAATGTAAACAGATACTGTCTCACAAATAAGTCAACCTCATAATTATATAATTATTTCCATAAATACACAACGAAGTACCCAGTTCTCTAGTTTGTACAATGATTACATTTAAAAAAAAACTTTACATGATTAAATGTTTTTCTTCCTTTCTTATCGAATGAATTGCTACTAATATACATGAATCGTTTAACAGACTGTCCAAATATCCTGAGTACAGTCAGTACTTTAAAGCAGTATGCAGATAAGTTGTCCGGTGTTGCTCGAGCACCTGTTGCAGCTACACTCAGCGCGTGCACTGCGCACTGTAACACACACCCCCTCTGTCATTTCATACTGTTTAACACTGCTTATACACACACTTTTAAAGACTAGTTTACATTTTAAATAGCCAACTAGTTTTTACGCATCTATTGTCTTGAATAACACAAATAAAGCGCTATTCTCCTAATAACTCGCGCGCTTCATAAGAGTACACAATACTATAATAATAAAATTACACCTCGCTAGCATAAACACTTTGATTCCTAAATACGTACTCTATTTTGGATAACTACAAACTACATTTGCTGTTCGTACAGTGTTAAAAAGAAGCACAAACAAACATAAAGAGAACAGTATTAGCTTATTAACTGTCTGGCGAATTTTAAAAGCAGCTTACCTGAGAAACGTAATGTGATGGGGGACCTATAAGTGTCCGTATTCCAAGATTTGGATAACCATGTATAACGTCCCCTGCCACGACAAGACGCTTTTCTCAAATTTGTGAGAGCGAGCAGATATATAGCGACTACTTTATTGTGCCGTTACGTCAGAGGTGCATCCTCTCGAGGCGTTCCACTGGCAAATATGGCCATGCTGGGGCGGAGATCTTGGGGCGGAGGGAGCAAATCTTTCCGGCTGCCGACCAATCAGAGCACTCGCAGTCACAAAGACATGACGCACACGGGATTCCATTGACGCAAACAATCTGCACGTTTATTGTTCTAATTATAGCAGCGCTCTGCTGTGCAACTGGCCGAATTTAGATAAAAATAGTGAGGAGAAGACACAAATAACTAACAGATATGCAAACAGGAACAAGAGAAAGTGTAAAAACAGAATCATAGTCACAGTTATACATGTTTTCTGGATTCATTAAGAGGAATGAGAAAAATTAAATATTTTTTAACAACTATTGAATAAGACTGTAGATTATACATTACTAAATTCTGTACAATATCTTAAATTTTTTTTTTGTTATTTTCTTTAAAGTTCCAAGTTACAACTACACTACTAAATCAGACATTTTCCTCCCCTAGAAACCCACAAAGAGCCCACAAGGAGAGAAGGCAGGGCTACACCTGCACAATCTGAACGTGTCAAAACATGAAAGTGTTAAGCGAGAAAAAAAAAATGAAAACGGAAGTCTGCGCCATCACAGGACTACAATGCAGGGTGTGTGAAGGATCGACAGTGCCAGTAAGTGCTATGTCTCGTGCCACGCTTAGAGGTTTTCCTTTTAACTTAGAATGAAAATCGAAGATTACCCACATTTCTTTGTATTGTGTCCTCCACCATTACTGTGAAACTGCTTTAATCAAGACACAAATGATTCAAAAAGAAACTAGAAATAAATATAAAACGTTTTTTCAATAGAAAAACAAAATGCTGGGTTGTTTTAACTAACATCTGCACTTATATATTAAATGTTAGTAAGTTTACTTACACTTACACATTGGTAGCATAAACACTTTGATTCCTAAACACCTCCTTTGAACAGCAAATGTAATTTGTAGTAATCCAGTGTTAAAAGAAGCACAACCAAACATCAAGAGAACAGTATTAGCTTATTAACTCTCTAGAGAATTTTAAAAAGCAGCTTATCTGAGAAACAAAGTGTAATTATAAGTGTGACTTATAAGTGTCCGTTTTCCAAGATTTGGATGAACATGTATAACGTCCCCTGCCTTGATAAGACGCTTTTCTTAAATTCCTGATTTCACATCTGCTCTCATAAAAAAATGATGTTCACTGTTCAAACTACTCTTTTAAAATGAGCTGAAAAAACACAATTCTTGAAGTTTTTTGGGGTCAACTTTTTATGTTCAATTCACGCACATTTGAAAATATTATTAAGTCAACTTAATTCCTTCAATGTTTCCCTAACACAAATTAATTGTGTGTAACAGCATTTTTACAGTGTGTGTAAAAAATGGATAACATTCAGGGCTGGACTTAACCAATAAGCGAGGTAAGCAGCCGCTTAGGGCCCAGGGAATTAGGGGGCTCTGACCAATGCCAAGAAGCCTATTTTAATCATACAGCTCTTTTATAAATTTTCTAATTATATGTTGTAAAATCTGTCTATAACCATTAAGATTTTACTATTTACACTTCTTTTTCAAAATTGGGCACCCCCATGAATAGTGGAACATTACTTCCGTACTGCACATGCAAATAATAAAGTTTAATCACAAATATGGCTATTTAACTGTACATAGTTTGAGGACTTGTTTTTTTATTTGTTAATTTATTGTATTTAATTTTACATTAAGAAGATAAAGCTTCCAGATAAAATATATTTTAACATGCAGTTTATTTACATTAAAAAATCTACAGAGAATAATTATCTGTAGAGAAAGAAAGTGTTTTGAGTTTTAATGCTAGGGCTCCAAACCTGCAATAGCTTATAGGGCCCCCAAATCACAAAGTCCACCTCTGGTAACATTATTCTTTATTTGTTACATTAACCCAGTGGTTGGTTTGTCCATGTTTTACTGAGTTTTTGACTGGAATCAGCCCAGCACTTTTAGAGTGCATGCAAACACAATGCTCACCCATGACGTAAACCGCTCGATCTCCACTTCACCTTAACTTGTATTGGAAGAGACATATATCACTCTAAAGATGCTGGATTTGTTTCAAACTAAAATAAGAACAAACCCAAGGGTTAATTGGGTCATTTTTTTTGTTACAATTTTGAGCCCATGATTTGGTTTGGATAAACAACCCCGTAAAAACCTCATATTTTTTAGAGTGTGTGTGAATAGAGCTTTATAGATGTAAATTCTTGACATTTTGAGCATTAGTAACTCCAGAGAAATGTAAAAACATCCTGCCTCTGCTTGAAGTAGGTGTAAACAATTATACTCCTGCTGGCTATCACAGTAAACCAACATTCAAGCTTGAATTTCTGAAAGTGAGGCACTTGTGCTGCTATTTTAAAGAGCATGTCCTGATCCAGATATGTCTTGCTGTGTGCTTGCTTAGTGGGTTCTACTAGGTGATGATAGCAGTGTCCGTATCAGTTGTTTCTCACATAGTGATTTCACGTCTAAGACAGTCAGACGGACAGTTTCTGTGTCATAATCCATTTTTCTTGTGCCACATGCTGTGTTTGGCTGAAAGGTTATACTTCAAGAGATTGACCTACACTTGCAGAATAGTGCAGGTGGCCAAGTAACATGAAATGCAGGCCACTGACATGGTATCTACAGTAGCTTTGGTATTTAAAAACAAGCACAACAGGTCTTCAGAGGAATTCAGATCATGCCAACATGGCAGCAGGAACTGGATGGCAAGTGTACTTGCATACATTTTCTGTGTTTGAAGCATAGATTTTGTTGAAAATATGTGTTTGACCTTGAAACATCTTGCAAAATCTTACAAAAAGATTTCAGCCTCAATTTAAACAACTAGTTCTCAGTTCTAGGGTTTTTAGAGCATTTAAAAATGCATGCGTGTTATATTATTCATATAATTATAATATTATAATGTGATAATGTTATGTGTGTGCTATTATTCATTTAATATAACTATTTAATAATATTATAATATAATATTATGTGTGATATTATTTATATCATTTTCCAAGGACCATCGGAGAAAAAATAAGTAATTTCAACATTCATGTGAGGAGCACCAGATGGTTCATTCACGTATTTCAAAATTTGAAGTAAAATTCGTAATAATAACAATAAAATGATAAACAAAGCTTTAGAAAAAATGAAGACGTCACTGGAACATCTCCATACATTTAAAGGATGAATCAGTACTCCAAGACACTGTTCAACCCGAAACAAAATGAACCAAACATCATTACATGATGACGCCAAAATACATTCTAAAACAATTGTGCTTAATAGCAGTAAAAGGGGTTCTTTGGCTGGTAAACATATGAGGAACCACTTTAAATGCACAGCACTAATATCTTTAAAAATACTCTAAACCACTCTGCTATACTGGTGCTATAGCACTTTAAGTGGTTCTCGTGTGATCATGAGCCAAGTTAGTATTCTAAATAGTCCCTCAACTACAAATGGAGAATTGTGTGTGTATGTATTAATATTTCTTTATCAATAGCCTAAATCTTTAGTTTAGTTAGTAAATGCTATGATGCAATAATAAATAATAATATCAATCGCCTTACAGCAAGAAGGCCGCTGGTTTGCATGCCTGCAGACCCAGATGGCATTTCTGTGTGGAGTTTGCATGTTCTCCCCGTGTTGGCTTGGGTTTCCTCCAGGTGCTCCGGTTCCTCACAAAGTTAAAAGACATGCAGTATAGGTGAACTGAATAAGCTAAATTGTCTGTAGTGTATGTGTGTATGGGTGTTTCCCAGTACTGGGTTGCAGCTGGAAGGGCATCCAATGCGTAAAACATATGCTGGATAAGTTAGTGGTTCATTCCGCTGTGGTGGCCCTTGATAAATAATGGAACTAAGCCAAAGAAGAATGAATGAATAATAATAATAACACAATTTAATTACCTCCCAAGAAAAAAACAACTGTATTATGTCGCTAGTTAACACACTCAATGTATTGTTTTTCAACACATCACTTAATTTCTAAAATATCAACCTCTACTAAATGGTAGAAATGTCTGTAATGGTAAAAGTACAGGAATTAATACATATGAAAATCTGAAAATATAAAGTGTTAGACACTTAATCAAAATAAAACATTTTTGAACACCAAATCATCTTTATTTTTTGAAGTAGGCTATGCCATAAAATATTTTTTTTTTTTTTTTTTTTTAATGAAACTAAAATCAAGTGTAGTAGGGCAACACGATTATGTTTGTAAACCAACAATGCTGTGTGTGTAAACCATTATTAAAAACAGTCGTTATTTAAAATAAATAATAAATGAGGTCAACCGTAGAGCAGGCACACTATAAAAATACCAAGTTCCACAAAATGAATTCAAGTTGTCCCAACATAAATCGATTAAGTTAATGTAACACTTTTAACAAATTTATGTGAATCTGAAAAATTGTGTTGTTTCCGCTCATTTTAACTAAGTAGTTTAAACAAGTAAAAAAACATATATTTTTGAGTGCAGTTTAGGGGTTAACAAACAATGAGTAACTTTTATTTATTTGTTTTATTTACTGCTTTGAATATAGTTAAATATGTCCTGGACATGTTCTCGGCACATTTGACCCCAAGAGATCCTTTGGTGATGTATGTGGTTCTTGACATCCGCGTTGCTTTTTTGCCAATTTCCATGTCGCTGTCTGTCTACTCAGAACTGGCTTCACATCTGCTTTCCGCCGTTATCACGAGCTGGGATCTTTTTCCTGATCAAAGCCTTTTTTCTCGTTCACGAGCCTGTTATTTCTGAGGGTAGCCGCGGAATCTCCTTCATTCTTCCGCGTGTGATGCGTGGACCGCACCGGGAGCCGCACCATTGATCTGTTGTGTCAGATTCGCTCTTCCTTTCACCCGCGCGGTAGGAGAAAATAAAGGATGCGTCTGATCTGAGACCAAAAAGAGGAAGCTCTGCCAATGGCGTCATGAGGCGCTTAATCTGACGTAGCAGGAATCCCTCCCGCGCGCGCGCTGCCAT